CCGACGCGAGCTGAGACGAGGGAACGCCGGGGTCGCGGCTTTCTGCGCCAGAGCGATGGGCCCGGCTTATGTGCGGGGCTGGGGCGAGCACGGCAGCCGGTAGCACCCGGTGCCAGGGCAGCCGTCGGGACGGGCCGCGCCTGGCAAGGGCACCGGGCTTTTCCGAAAAGGAAAACCTGTGTTGTAATGCCTGGGCTCTGAGCTGGCCTCGGAAGGAGGCAGTAACTCTTTTCCAGGCTTTTGCATTGGTCAGGCATAAGAAAAGATGACATTGGCTTTCTGAATCATGCACAGCAAACGTTAAGGGGGTTTATTTCGGTAAGATTTTTAGCTATTCTGTAGTCAACCTTGTTACAGGCCCGCTTACCTGATTATACACCAGAGGTAACATTACTGGATTGGGTTGGTGTAAGAGCTGTGCTAATGAAATAGCACCTGCTATAGCAGTTTCTGATATCCCTTTTCTGGGGTATTGGTGGCTACAGCATCTGCCTGGTTTGGTAGGTTACCACATGGTATGCGTGCTTCTTTTGAGGTGCGTTACAAGATAAACAACATATCTCTAACATTAAAAAGAAGAGCCCTTTTGTTATAAGGGTGATCTAAGTTCAGTGTTCAGGTTTAACTCTGAAACAAGTTCCCCAGAGCAGTTGTGGAGTCTCCATCTCTGGAGCTATTCAAAACTTGGCTGGACGTGTTCCTGAGAAACCTGCTATAGCTGTCACTGCTTTGAGCAGATTGGGGTTGAACTATGTAATTTCCAGAGTGCCAACCTCAACCGTTAAGTGAGCCTGCAAGTATGCTACTGTAGCTATGCCAGGCTTTTGTTAATTAACTTCTTATGGTAGACCTGAAACTTTGGTCCATACACAGACTGACAAAATGAAAAAGTGTGCCCTCATATACTTGGTGGCTTTTTTGTTCCTGTGAAAGCACTTCTCAGGCTTTGTAGCTGGCTCAAGTGACTTTTGGATTTAGCTGAAAACTAACTAAAAAAAAAAAGTTATGGCTTTAGTCAGATCTGTGAATAGTAGGGTGGGCAAGTAAGATGCCATAGAAATGTGCAACTGAGAGCAGGGCGGTTCTTATTAACAACACTTGCACTCTACTATGGCATAAAGGTTGCAAAGTGGCATTTTGAATGACAAAACAGAGTAGTGGTCTAGTCTGAATCTTGTCATCAAGTTTTTTGGATATGTAATAGAAGCTGTTTCTTAGCTGAACTAGTGAAGATTTCTCTTAGGTATTGCAGATTCCTGAACAATTGGGAGAAATTTGCCTGTGTTGAATGGTTGTGTAGGCAGGACTGGTAGGTCTCTTCTTTATAAGTGCTTTCAGGAATTTTTTCTTTTGTCATCAAATTCATACTGACTATTTTTTCATATTTAAGTTTGTTTGAATGAATGCATTCACTCTGAATATGCCTGCTCCTTACGTATATCTGCTGTCTGTTGAATGTCCTAAAAACAGATTGAATAGCTGACAATGGAAGTATTGAGTTCAGCGTAGAGATCAGTTTGATTTTTCTATTGATCCTGTCCAGCTGACTGTAAAACTTACTAACTGTCTTGTATTGCTTGTTAGGGCAAGCAACCATGGCTGGCCATGACTCAGGATCTCAACACCAGTTCACTGGATTTCAGAAGTACTTCAATTCCTATACTATCACAGGCAGGAGGAATGTATGTATTATGTATATTAACTTCTGTAGTTTAGTATAATGGTGTTTTTGGGGTTTTGGACTGAAACTAAACTGAACTTTTATGTTTTCCAGTATGTAATAGCAACATACACAGGCATTGCAATGCTCGTCTTGTATTTCAAGCTTAGACCCAAAAAGAAAACTCCTGCTGTAGCAGATAAGTAAATGGTAAGTAAGTGGTGTTCTTCCAGGACCAAAATGATCTAATGCCAGCCTAGGAAGAAAGAGTGACAAATTGCTAATAATAAAATATAATTACAGAGAGGTAGAAACACAGGCATGTGAACTTTGTTTTTATCATTTTAAACCTCAACTAAACCATAGCATCAGCGTATTTGGGGGCATTCTGAATGATGTAGGTTGTTACAGGGGGATGCAGAAAGTATGGGATACCAGTATTCTGTTTGTTCTTCTGACATGGTAAATGGGACTAGGGACAGCATGCAGGGAGGAAGAGGAAGGAAGGAAGGAGGAATAGAAGGATGTTGCAGCTAGGTATATCAGGCTTTGCCTACAACTATTAGGTGCCTCTGTTCTGCCCTTTTGCTGTAAAATAGGGGTAACTGTTGTTTTGTAGGATATTGAAACAATAAAGTAATATTTGAGGACTTATTTCTTATTTGTATTAGAGAATTCCAAGCAGGGATTAATACAGTCTGTTAAAACCTTCCTCTGAACATAGTAAAGGAGCACCATACAATGGAATTGTATGTATTGCACACCTGATTATGCAAGGCCTACATAGAAATGATTGGACTTGTTCTTGTATAGCAACAACCAAGTGTTCCAAAATTCTAGAGTCACTTTCAAATACAAAATTCCACTGAAATGGTGTTTTGAAAAAACCTATGGGCAAAACCAAACCTCATAGTCTGCAAAAAGGGGTAGAAAAGAATGAGCTTGAGCATCATTGTTCTATGTTAAAGGGACATCAGTCATTTCTTCCTGGGTGTACTGAAATTTGCCTGCTCATAACTAGAATTGTTTGGGCTTGGGGAAGGGGGATGCTTAGTTACTAGTACCACTGTGCAAGACTTGCTATGTCTGATCTCTCTTCTTTTGGCAGGTTGCTGGCATGCCTGAACCTCCAGTCTGTGTCAGTGTAATTCAAGCTGATGACCTGTTATGGTTAATAAAATATAAACAATTACTTGTTTTATTGGAAATATGAAGTGGTCCAAAAAAGCATAAATGGGGCATTTTTTTTTTCCCCTCTGTCAAAAAGAGTTATCTGTAGTGAAGTAGCTGATTCCTGTCCATCTTACCATCTTAACTAAACTCTTCTGCTGTTACAAGCCATCCTCAAACATTCTGAGCACCTGGTAGTAACCTACGAAAGACCTTAGCAGCATGACCATAATACTGGCACAAAGCTTACAGCTGATCAAAGCATTTCTAACCTTCCATGTCATAGTGGGTAACAGTAAGCTCACATGGTTTGCAGTTACCTGGTAGTTCTCATTTTCTGCATTCCAAGCTAGCAGCTTACATGGAAACCATGACCTCTTCACTATTATTAATACAATGCACATCACAACTTCTGCCTCAGTTGTCCATATTTTGCATACAACTGGTTTGGTTTTGATGAAAAACCTCCCAAAATAGACTGATCAAATTATGGTATTTGAGCTTTTTCTGTTAGTGGCCTCTCTTGCAGAGGTAACTGCCAGAAAGAAAACAGCTAGCTTTGCTGATGTTAAGCTCTTGGAACTGCAGGTTCACTGACGGTGACTTAAGTAGTTCAGTGCTTATTTTTCCTGGACATAGCCTCTTAATAAATGAGGTGTTCCTACCAGTATTCAGTCCCCTACATGCCCAACACTAAAACATGTCTATCACATTCTCTGCAGTGTCTTTCTATATCTCGGTTAAAACTCGGTACTTTCTTAGATGTCACATTAGTGCTGATGCATGAATGTGATTATATAGCACCATGCTTCTTGGAAGAGTATCAGCAGCAGGGGTTGAACCTGGGATTTCTGATGCTAAAGCATGCAAATACACGTCCCAAACTGAGGGCAGCAGGAGGCAGGATAAATGACAGGCTTTTTGTGTTCTCACACTGTAGTTCATGTATCTTAAAGCCATTTGTACATGCTGGACCTTCTGAATAAATCTAGTCATCTTCCTCTCCTATGAGTTTGTTTGCATAAATGGCCTTTGCCATGTAAAACTTTCCAGATGGATAATGGTTGTTTTAACAATGTAATAGATGCAATTAGCTAGAACCCATCACATACCATTAGAATGAGATTTACATGAAGTGGCTAGTCGTCAACTTAACCATTTCTGAATTACTTTGGTTCTCTTGGTAGAGTGCTCAGAGTTACAAGCACTGTTCTCGCTTCCCTTGCAGCTGTCAAGGGAAGAAAATACCTTCTTGTAACATACAGACACAAACTATGTGGTTTTAGTATTTATTATAATATCAAAAGTATAAAACTGTACAAAATACAAAGGCAGAATGTGGCAGTGTTTTCTTTAAGCTGTCAAAACTGTACATGCTTTGTTTGATTCACCATAATTGTACTTAAATCCAACTGGTCATACTGAGACCTAGGAAATTTTGTTGAGGTACAATTACACAAACACAAAAAATATAATAATTTAGTTTTAACGTTTTCTCTTTAAAGAAAATTTCCAGGTGAGCGTCCTAATGAATTTTCCACCCTTTATTTTGATATATAATGCCTGTACTATACCTTTACTCCAAGAGTTCGAGTCAAGAGAATGGATGAAAGGGGAGGTAGTTCTCCATTTACCTTACCTTAGAAAAAATCTTGGGTTTATTTTCACTAGAGAGCCAACAGATTATTCAAGTGTCCAAGCCTTTACTGGAAAATAATGAGGAATACAAAATAGACTTCCCTGTATACAGCTTGTGAGAGATTTAAAAACAAAAAGTCACCAAACAAAACAACAAAGCAAAAACCCAAAACCACAGCAAACTGGGCCTGTCCTTTGGTGGTGGTGGTTTCTGTTCAAAAACCCAGAAGGAAGTTGCTACTTGCCAGTGTTTTGCATGTTTTACTCTTCCTCCGAAATAAAGCACTGAGGTTTATATCATGTCCAGGACTTACTGGGGTAGAATGTTTTTGTAGGTAGAAATTGGCACTGCAGCAGATAAGCTGGACTTTCAAAGGCAAACTAAAAATACACTTAGGACTGATTAATCCTTTTACTCTGCAATAATGTTTCAATTTCTTGGCTAGTTTTAGGTTTAATATATTAAACCTCATGCAGAAAGAATGCAGGTTTTTAAAGTTCTTTTAAATCTAATGCAACATAAAAGAGTTTAAGTCCCTGTTTCTAATAATGGGTATTTCAGTTGTGCCTCAGTGTGTCTGTGTGTCGTGTCCCCCCCTTTTTTTTTTCATACAATAAAGTATGAAAGTAAATAAAGTTCACATTGCACTTCTGGTTGCTTATCACACTTACAGCATTGGCTCCCCGTGAAAATAAGAAGATCTGCATTTCTGATACCTCAAAAGAGCACAGGAGGTTGAAATCTTTTCAGGACTCAGTACTTTGATACATAAACCCCATATGTGTAACTTGGCGGCAGCTCCCCACAAGTCTGTTGGACCTACTCTTTCAATACCCTAGTTGTTGCTGTGATACTCTCACTTTGCTTGTGTTTGAGATAGATTAAACATTTGCTAACCATAAATTAAGTGCTTTTAAAAAATCATTTGAGAACACATACCAAGGCTGTTAACTTTCCACAAGTTTCAGCAGAGCTCAATACCATCTCTGAGACAGACATTTTCATATACATATATATATTTATCAAAAGCACCATGAACAATTCCTTCTTTTACAGCCATGATGTCTCGTCAATCTCCAGCATTTCCAAACTGTGGATAAATATGAAATAGAACTGCTCGCATTAGTTTACATAGTTTCATTTTCCCTGCAACAGAACAGGTCCACCTGTACAAGACATTCCTCCTCGTCTCACATCCTGAGGTCACTACTGCAATCACTTGGCACAGTCAGTCTTACAGCTTCCCGATTTACTGCGAACTGTAGGCTCCTGCAGCCAGCAGCAAGTTTCTGCGTGTAAAATGGAGGTGTACAACCGGGGTTGATTTGGTCATGTATGTACCTAGTAACAAGTCCTGTGAGTTTTCAGGCAAGTTTATATGTCCAGTGGCTGTAGTAAAGTCATCGGTTTCTAAATCTTCAAATGCTTTCACAGCATCCCACAGACGAACTGTGTTATCCATTGAACCTAAAAAGAACAACAGTTTAAAGTCTTTTATTAATAAAACAGGTATATAAAAAAGTTACTAGGAACAAGTTAACAGAAAGTAAAGCTCAAAAAGTAAAGTTTGCTCATTAACTGTAGACTTATGTTTTCATCCCACAAGGAAACAGATTTGAACAAGTCTCTAACATATTGAATGCACACATAAAAGCAACCAGGACTTCAGTTTTCCTGTAATCTAAGCTGAATGCCCTGTGAATAAAGCACAAAGAACTACTCTCTCAAAACACTTGTGTTTGGATTCTACCACCTAGCACTGAAAGAGCAGGACCATCCTGTGGGCTAGATGCCAATTTTAGGAAATGTTTATGATTGTGAGTCACATAATAACAGTTTCACTGTTTGATACAGGGAAGACAGCAGAATTGTGCAGGCCCAGTGGGCTGTGCTTTCACTGGAGCATTGGTAGAGAAATTGAAGTAACCACCCTGCAGGCTGAATCAAACCTGTACCCTTTTTGTTAGCCTTCACTCCTGCAGTAGTGTCTCACTGCGGATTCTCACTGCACTGCATTTAGGAACATACTACTAAATAAATCTATAATATTCCTAGCCTGGTTTCATGAGGAAATCACCCTGATGTAATTAGAGTGTCTGTCCATTGTTTCTTCTGTCAGTAACTTGAACTTGTTGGCTAATTTCAACCAGCTGACAGAACAGAACAGGTTTCCAATTCATTAAATTCCTACCCATTTTAGGAAAACAGTTCACTAAATATGGAGAGACAAAACTTTGTACCTCCATGAAGGGAAAACTGGCAAAGGAGCTCTGCTATATTAAACACCAGAAAATCCATGCGGACAGGCAGGAAAAACAAGCAGGCTTCACAAGTTCTGCTGCTCATAGATCCGACTATTAATACTACACGCACACTTCTGTATCAAAAATCTAAGAAGATTGACCTAAGATTTAAGATCTAAGAATCATGAAGAAACAGTAAGGGTGAGGATAACTCTTCTTCCTTTCTATTAATTCCTCTCTAGTCCAGCCACTTGTTGTCCACCCTGGAGTTATTTCTAACTTCAGATTCCACCCCAACACTGTACAAAGATCCCAACCTTCACTATCACCTAACTGCATAACACCTTTCCTTCAGTTCCTGGAATAGTGAGGGATCATACTTCGCAGTCCAGTGAAGTACTCACCTAAGCAAGTGATTCTACTTTGTCTTCCTCAATTTAAGGAACCGATTATATCATTCCTTTCAGACTTATAGAATGCAACAAAAACATCACAGTTTCCAGTGAATTTTACCTGATGCTAAGATCTCCCCATCTCTACTGAATCTGAGTGCATAGATAGTGTCAGTGTGCCCTTTCAATTCTCCAACCATCAATCCATGTCCAATATCCCAGAGCAGCACCCTTCCATCTGTTGCTCCAGTAGCCAGGAATCGTCCATTGGGAGAAAATGCCAATGAATGAATTGGTCCCTAAAACAGACATTTGAGGGAGGGACCAAACAAGTTAATTAAGTCTACTCACATTCAGTCAGTCAAGCCATATTCGTTCTGAACACTACTCTTCAGAATCCCAACACAGAAATAAAACTACTTTCACACTGTGTGAGATACATATGCCTTTACCTTATGTCCAGTGAATATTCTTACACAATTCCCATTCAAAACATCCCAGAGCCGTACAGTCCTGTCTGCTGAGCCCGTGGCAATATAGTTAGAGTTTGGATGAAATCGGGTACACGTCACATCAGCAAGATGGCCAGCAAATATCCGTAAAGGCTGGTAGTGATCCGTTGCCCACAGACTGAAAATAAAAGCTTTATTGATAAGAAAGAACCCTAATGAAGTTCAGTATCTGTTGCACAATGTGGAATAAAAGGAAGTAATTATGTAGTGGTTTCTTACTGGTCAGTTTATTGAATTAGCAGGATCTGTTTTGGAAAAGAATACTTTTCAGAAGGGAGAAAAAGAATATTCTATCAAGTTGTTTAACAACTGGAAGAGAATACTTATAAGCAGATGGTCACATAAGAGGACAACATCTCTGTAGTCATCAGATAATCTGATGTGTGTTGAAAAGAAAGAAGAAGAAAAAAAATCACAAACTACATTAAAATATTTGTTCAGTATTTTAATTGACATGAAATAAAATTTATCTCCAGTAATAGAGTAGGCTAGAGTGTATCAGCTAATCAATTCCAGGGTTAATCCACCACAAACTGACCCAGACAAGTAAAAAAACCATCCAGTTTCTTACCGAGCCACTCTGTCATGTCCCCCTGACACAAAGTAATAACCATAAGGAGAGAATTGTGTATCCCATACTGGATAGTTATGTCCTTTATATCCCACCAAACATGTGAACGTTTGGAGACTCCACAATCTGACAGTGCCATCCTCAGAACAGGACAACAGATAGTTCCTGTCACAGGAGAAAGTATAGCATATTACATACCAAACTTGCACATGGGCTGTATAACCATTGCATAAACACTGTGAGATGTCTATGGTAAGAAAAACTGTCCACTGAACAGCATCTGTTCAGCATGTCATATGTAAATCAGCATTTTGGTGGGGTAAGTGACAATGACCAATTCAAGCAGAATCCAGTCCTAGGTCCTTATGCAAAAAAGAGACAATTGGATGCTGGTGGCTAATTCTGATGACACTGAGCTGGTCTTTACTCAGGAATTTCAGTTATATGAAAAAAATACTAGTAAACTGCTGTACTATGTTACTTAAAAAAAACCAAAATCTTTTAATATAACTCTAAACAAAATTTCATGATTCCCTGAAAGAGAATTCATACCATGTTCACATTCTCAATTCATAATTATAGACTCTACATTTATGGTCCACACAAAGTTTACTTCTCAGCTGTGTTTCTGTGATGGTTGTTTCCTGACTAGACACATGCAAAAGCTAAACTTTATGTATTTAAACCTCCTTCCTGCTGTCCAGACTCTCATAATTACCTAATGCTTTTAAATCTCTTAATTTAAAGATATTATTCTACACATTTTGAAAATAAAGTCTCAGTAGAATATGAGAAACTTCAAGTGCAACGATATGGTACTCAGCCTGGTTTTATGTTTTGCAGTACTAGAAGTAAAATCAATGCTGCAGTGTTTTTCCTCTCTACAATTCAGTTAGTTGAAACCCAGCCTAAACCACAGTTTGCAAAAAAGATGGTCTATTTTGCCATCTAAGTCCTGAACCTCAAAAAAGCTGCTGACTTCCTCTGCTCCAGTTGATTTCAGTAATACCTTACAGTGCCCAACACCCTAAGCGTAATTAGAACTTTCACATAGTTTCTTGTAAGCCGCATAAACAAGAATTGTGTTAACTTTCTGGAAAAAGATGCATTAAGAACATGTTTGCATTCAGTAGCATACAATTGACTCAAGACAAGCAAACTAGTTAGCCTGTAAACTTATTTTACCTATCAGGACTGAAGCTGGTGCCATAGACAGGTCCACTGTGACCATATAAAATCTTCAACTCACTTGCTGTTTTCTCATCCATGATCCTCTCCAAGACATCGTCTGATTCTTTGTCAATGAGACTGAGGTCTGCAATATTTCAAAGTTCATGTATTATAACAACTGTCAGTTCAAAGATAAATGCCACGAACAGGAAAATAAATATTCTGTCTAAAAGAGGCAAGTATGGTGTGAACATGACAAAGTACCTGGGAGTTGGTTAGTTTGAAATATAAAATGGCATTTAAAATATTTTTACCATTGTAAAAGGTAAAAATAATGCTTTACATAAATAATCACTCTTTCTTAAGTCTTCACTAAGAGCTAAAATAAATTAATTCTGAGGTGTTATTTTTCATACGTATATTGTTCAGCCTCCAAACACAATAAAATCTTCTTGATAGAGATGTCAAATTTTCACACCTTTTCCCAGGAAGTTAATATGCCACAAACATGCTTTTCAGGCATGTTTTGACAGCTGCACACTATACACAACTTAAAATAACTTCTAGTCTGTAGGCTACTGTTTGCCGAACATCATGACCACATCTCAGTTAAATATCCTTATTAAGAAACGTTTGCGTGGTATCTAGCTTCAACCACAACGCACTGTTACATAAACAGCAGAATTAAAGAAGCCTGGTTTCCATAAATTTGCGTAGGTATTGAGCTACAGGACGTTTTGCTCCATCCTCCTCAGAGTTCCCTCCTGCCATTTCCCCCAGGATACCTCTAGTCTCTCCCCTAGATAACCTAAACCTGTCTACTACACCCTACAGTTACCATCCAGTTAAGAAGCAAGATGGCTAGTTCCACACTAGTTACGGCTAGTTCCAAGCTCCATGCACCGACCACCTCACAGCAGGTGTACACAACCAGATTTTTAATTCCTTTGAAAATATTTCTAGTGGTAGTATATAAGATGCAATCATACATCTGTGCACATACTGTTTTATCACAGTGAAAGCATCTAACTGCTGAAGACAACTCTCCTGTTCACACAAAACACAGCTGTCACAAGTAATGCATGCTCATACTAAGTGTTACTGTCTTAATTACCTGCTGCTGTTTTCACACTACGTAGTTTTTTGGGAGTCACGGACCACACTCTGACAGTAGAGTCAGCAAAGCCTCCTACAATCATGCTAGAGTCATCTGTAATATCCACTGCAGTCAGACCCTGTGCACAAAATATCCATTTTTACTGTTTGTATCTTTCGTGATGCATTTCAAGTATTACAAAATCCTAAGTACTAATATGAAAATTAACTCAACTTATTTACAAAAATGAGGGTATCTAGGATAGACATAAGCACACATAAATTCTTGCAGCATTAAAAATAAAGTTATATGAATGAAGCACAGTTGATCACAACAAAACAGTACTGTTTTACAGTATTTTAGTGTAAAACATCTACTGTATTCTGTAGAATACACTTAGGTCCCCACAGGAAAACAAAAGAAGGAATTATGGCAAAATCAGAACAAAACAAAAGAACATGGAAATTAAATAGTTTAAGGAGTCTTTAAAGAGAATTTTGGAGATTTTAGAACATCAAATTTGCAATGCTTATTCCAAATACTCCAATAACCCTTGACAACTTTGTTAAGTCTTCTTTCTTTATTTAAAAGTTATGTTTATAATGTTGATTCCCTTTTCCACATTACCCAAACTCTTCTTTTACCAACCTGGTAAGCATTAAGGAACGTGTAGAAACAGATGGAGGGCAGGCACTCTGGGCCAAGACGCACACGCCTTGCAGCTTCCTTCATATTCATTACTTTATCCAGCTTGTCAGAGTCTTTTAGTTCAGGCAGAGGAATTCTACAAGCAGCACACATTTTTATGAACTGAAAGCACCTTCCATATTGTTAATCTAAACAAAGCGAAACATTCACATACAACCCTATACCTCAATATACAAATACGAAACAAGAATTAGAAAAAAATGAAAGACTATGTGAAAGATTAACTGGTAAGAGCCAGTAGCTTTAAGAATTTCAGATAGGCAGTGGAACAAGATAAATAACTGAGTATGACCTGAAAAGATTAGTGGGTAACTGAGTAAAATTTTGTCAAGGGAAATCTAGATTGACTTGAAGGGCAAAGACAGAGGGTTATATGCTAAGCTTTCCATTACCTCCCTTAGAAGTCTCACGGCTAAAGCTGTGTACAGCTGAAATGGCCAAAGAGCTAAAAACATTATGTGAACAGCAATGCAGATTTGGCATAACAAGACTGGATTTAACACATCATTCTCTTGGTACCTGTTTTGAGGAGGAGCATTAGGGTCTTGTTTTTTACTTTTTGACCCTACGCTATCTTTTTTAGGTTTTTTCTTCTTTGGCTTTCCTTCTTCATTTTCTCCTTCTTCATCTTCATCATCCAAAGGCACATCAAACTCTGGTTCTTTCAATAAGCCAAAGAAAACCTGCAAGCCAATAAAACATACAAAACAGTAATTGCTGTTTTTACTGAAAACTAATTTTTTTAATGGAAACTTCTCAATGTATTAGTCCAAGCAATAGAGCTGCCCCTTTAAAACTGCTACATTTAGTATTTATGCATACATTACTAGTTAGGCCATAACAAACGTAGTACATGTTCTGCTGTTTTACCCAGCAACTGATCTGGACAACTGTAAGTTCTCCCACCATCTCTTAGCCCTTCCTTAAAGCAGAATCCCTACAGCTTACATAATCGATCTGTACAGTACTGTGGTATTACCCTGTCAAGATCTACACAAATAGCCCTTGCAGTAACAACTGGCATCAAGTAAGAATCACATCCGTTGTACAAAAGAGGAAGCCAAATGGTCAGGTGTCCATTTTAAAACCACAGAGTGATTCAGGAATTAATTTAAATTTAGTTCAGTGGGCTGAACACAAGGTTGTCTCTCAAAGGGGTTCAGCAGTTTCTTCTACCAGACAGTGACACATCTTGATCTCTCTACTCCTGCCAACAACTATTTGTATAATTCTCTTCCTTTGTTCTGTTCATGCTGTCTTTTAAGATCTCAAGTGACAATTGTCAGCCTATACTAAGGTATGTCCCTGAAAAACTAGGGAGGATCGTTCAATTATAAGAGTTCAACAATCTTTCCCTCCTACCTTTGCTTTATTAGCCTCTCGTTTTGCCTCCCCAGCCAAGCTTCCAACCATAGCATCTATCTGTTGTTTACTGCGAGGCATTCCATCAAAGATATCAATGTAAAGATGTTCCTGAACAATGTTCCAGATCTGGTTGTTCTGCTTTTCCTGAAGATGCCTCTTCAAGAGTTGGTAAGAGTCACGGGAAATACGCAGCACAAACTTGCTTGTTCGGAAATCCAGCATGGTCTCGTTACCTTTCATATGTTCTTTTTTGGTTAAGCTAGATAATACACGCAGGTCATCCTGGTAATAGCACTCCTGATCCCCATGAAATCTATTGAAACAATTTAAGATAAGAGATTTATTACAAAAACATTAGCTCCTAAGTGCAGACGTATTTACATGATTGCAACAGAAACACATATGTAAGGACTTTTTGGAAGCTACTGACTACATATGGGATTATTTTTCTGCTGAAATAGATTTCATCCTGGGGAAGATACACCAGTGACTTACTGTGTACGGTAAGAACAACAGTTAACAACTGTTTTAACAACAGTTAAAGACCGAACACACAAATGGAACCTCACAGAATTTCATACACCCAAAGGGTTCTCGTCTGAAGTAAATAGTTACATTAACATGTTTAATTACAGAAATGAAACTAATTTGTGTTATCAGAAAGTACAGGGCATTTTTACTACACAAGACTACTTGGATGTATTTATATCTGATTTATTATATGAATATGCAATTTCACAGTGAATATGTTTCTCACTCTCCACTTGCATTATCTAAGAGCTAACATATCTAGAGATTTCTGTTTTTACTCAAACTGTGTTATAAAATAGTTGTGGCAAGGAACATCTTAACTATTTACTGAACCGTTTTTGCTGACCATATTGGAGGGAGACAAAGTTATCCTACTGGATCGAAATATTTTATAATTGGTGTGAACTTAAAAAACAAATTAAATTTATCTTGCTCAAGAGATAGAGAAGTGAAACATAGCAAGAGCACAGAAAATTGCAATTAGCCTTCAATTAATTCCTTTAATTTTATTTTAAGAATTTCAATATATATGCCATGATGTTAGCAAATACTTATAGCATACGCTACTTTGGCATCCCTGTGCAGTTTTCCAGTGCTAAAAAATGACCCCACAACCTTTCCCTAAAGAAGCAGCATCTCTTCATTGATACTTTGCAGGAGTCGACCAGCTCACAATAAAGGTAGTTCAAAATCTGCACGTGGACAGTTCAAAAGCATGCAGTTTGCACATCTTTCTAACATTGGAGATTGGAAAAGAATTTAATAACTGTTACAGTAATCCGTGGCACCATTACTTCAGATTCCAAATCTCTTCAACAGTAGAGGAGAAAAATATGTACACACACATATATATATAAGCACCTATGCTACTATAACTTACAGATTTAATTCAAGTAGCAAACAAAATAATGCAAATGCACATATGAAAATAAATTACCTTTCAAAAAAAGACTTTGCTTCACTCTCATGTTGATTGTAGACCAATTCCAAGTACATGTGCACAAAGAGAGGATAAAACAGCTGAGACAGTTCCGCCCGATGACAGTCTAGGGAACACTCAATGAAGTGTTTTAATCCACTGTAGTACTCCTCATATAGTGTTGGGTCCCCCTGTTGATTGTAGGCAGACAATACTGCGCTCACATCTGGCTGATCTTCCACAACAATGCCTCCTCCAACTGCAAAAGCATATAACAAGAGCTTGTAAGACAGCCTGAAAGAGCTAGCAAATACACGGTGGCTAACAACTCCACTGGTAAGGTGAGGTGCTCCAAGCAAAACATGACAGTAAATCTTGGGCTTGTTCAGCATAAAGTTTAAACAATAGAAGTGAGAGAATGGTAGCACATTATAGTCCAGCAGCCAATTCTCCTAGCACCTTCAGCCATTTTTTGCGCTTTCCCTGCCAACAGTTGCCTATAAGGTATTTAACATAGTGCCTAATTCAGCTAGGATTATAAGTCTAAAGGAAGAAGCCACTAACATCACCAAAAGAAGTTATCTTTACTGCTAAGGCTAGAAACTGTCAAATCTTTCTACGCCTGTAAGATATACCCACTATAATTATTTTGCTTCCAGTAAACAAGCAAATTAAGTTCATCACGTGAACAATTCACCAAGACCACTACACAACCATTACAGGAGAGTGACTTCTTGTCACTTGCTAACACTGTGAGATCTCTGTTCTCTATAGCAGTCATTAAACATTTTCATTGTTTTGTCTTCTATGTAAAAACAGGTGATACCAGGAACAAGCTGACTTTATACTACACAGTCACTACAACTCAGACATATCCATTCCTGAAATTCCATTATACTGTTCTGTAAAGCTGCCCCCCAGAACACTTTGATTAAAAATACTTCAACTCCAGTTATCCAAAGGACATCTCAAGTACCCAATGACATGATCCAGAAATGTATAAAGCCTCATCTACAAGTACCCTATGGCTCTTTCTTCAAAATTCAGCCTGTACATCAGGTCCCCATTCTCATCCCTGCAGCCACATCTTGGACCATCACCTCTAACTACAAAGGAAACTTTCATCCTCCTGATACACTGTTAGTCGAGATGGGACACAAATACAAGACGAAGCACCTCTCTACTTTGACAGCACTCCCTGCAAATAGAACGGATATCCTGTGCTTGGTCCCTTGCTCCAGGGGGGAACCCTCAGGAAATCCCGATCGCTTTCCGAGTCGTATGGGGTAATGACACATCCAGGGGCGCCCCCAGAAGGCCGGGGTAGACTCGCGCCTCCCGCCCCAGGGAAGGTCACCCCAAGGTAGGCACGACCTGACACCGACCCTTGTGCCCCAGCATCACGGAGAACCCAAGGCTGCGGGAGGCACAGGGCCCTCCCAGTCCACAAGGGTCCCACTGGGGGGCGGCGGAGCGGCCTC